ATCTATTTATCTACATACAGTATGTCAAAACAACAGTCCATGGCTGCTTTCTGGTCACTGATACTTTAAAAAAAAATATTTTAACTGTGTTTAAAACAGTGTGAGTTGTTACGAGCGTCTGCAGAAATGCAGAGTGAAAGCAGTCATTTTTGGGAGGGGGGTGTCACATGAAGTATAACACTCTGAGATAGTTGTGGAAACATGATTTCTCAAGTTTCTATACCCAAGAAGGACTTCTCAAAGTCCAACTTGAGATATGCAGGTGATGCACACCAGTAATTTCCATATATATATAGCCACCTTAAATGTATGCTCAGATTACTAGTTTGGTTGTGTAAGTACTGCAGTTTGGGTTTTCTAGTGTCTGGTGGAAGTGAAGAAAGCAATGTATTCCATTGTGAGTGCAAAATAATTAATTATACCTATTGCCAAGAGAACTGGTTGAAAACCAGGTGATAGGTTATTTAACATAGAAGAATTTTATATTAAAATTTGAGAGTCTGCAGGTGACCGAATAGGCAGGCATGGAGCACCTACGATCTGCAATAAATATTAACTACCGTATATACTCGAGTATAAGTTGAGTTTTTCAGCACATTATTTGTACTGAAAACCCCCCACTCGACTTATACTCGAGTCAATGTCTGTATTATGACAACTTACATTGCCATAATACAGACCAGGACCGCCGGGCTCATTACAAGCCCAGCGGTCCTGTTGGGGGCTGGCAGCGAGCTGTAACTTACCTTTCCTGCAGCTCCTGTCAGCTCCCTTCTCCTCTGGTCCTGTCAGCTCCCTTCTCCTCCACTGTAAGTCTTGCGAGAGCCGCGGGGTCAGAACGTTGCCGTGGCAATGCTCCGCGCAGCAGTCACACCGCGAGACTGACAGGGGCGCTGGCAGGACCGGAGGAGAAGGGAGCTGACAGGAGCTGCAGGAAAGGTAAGTTTCAGCTCGCTGCCAGCCCCCCTCCTACACAGCCCATCCACTGGACCACCAGAGAATGAGAGCCCCCCTCCCTGGCCAGCTAACAAGCAGGGAGTGGGGACGAAAATAAATAAATACAAATTTAAATAATAATAAAATTAAAATATTAATAATATTAAAAAAAATTGATAATAATAATAATTTTAAAAAATAATAAAAATGCCCACCCCCCCACCAAGGCTCTGCATCACATACACACACTGCATTCATACACACACACTGCATTCACATACACACACACTGCATTCATTATATACACACACTAAATAAATATTCAATTAATATAATTTTTGGGGGTCTAATTTTATTTAGAAATTTACCAGTAGCTGCTGCATTTTCCACCCTAGTCTTATACTCGAGCCAATAAGTTTTCCCAGTTTTTTGGGGTAAAATTAAGGGTCTCGACTTATATTTGGGTCGACTTATACTCGAGTATATACGGTATATCTAATTTATCAAGATTATCTATGTATTCTTCTTGAATCTCCCCTTTCCTCGTGATTTATGTTTCATTCTTTGCTTCAATACATGGTAAATTTGGATTTTAAAATGCTGCTTGTTTACACGTCTCTCAATCTGCTGACAGCAAAAGCTTAGTGAATTAATTTGCCATCAAAGATACATTTGAATGAGTGCATGTAATGGGAATGCTCTTTCCTGCAAAATCATATAAAGGGACAAAAGTATGCATTACATAATATATCTAACAGTTCATTATCTAAGATAATACAGGTTTTGAATCACAATTGTGTTGTTATCATGAAAAATATAGCTGCTCTTTAACAGTAGGTGGGATCCTTAAATCATATGAACATAATCAGCATAAACTGTGAAACTGGGAGGTGGCTTGTTAGGTTTAAGACATTAAATGGAAGTTGGAAAAAAAGTAAGCAAAATGAGATGAATCTGTGTGGAAATCTGTGTGTGCAATACTAGCTGCACCCAAATGGTGGCAATCTTCAACCAATAATGTGATGGCTAATTTTTTGCAAATGAATAAATATGCATATTGTTAATGAAATATACTTTAAAAACACAGTAAAAAGAAAATGTGAAAAAACTAGCAAAAAAAAGTATTTATTTTTACAAAGATTGAATAATGCCCTTAAATGTATTCATTTAAGGATCACTATAGGATCAGGAACACAAACATGTATTCCTGATCCTATAGTGTCTAACCCACCATTTAGGTGGCTTGCCTCCCCCCCCACCCCCATCTCTCCCATCGCCCGCTATAAAAGTATAAAACTCACCTGACTGGCTAAAAACGGCACGGGGGCGGGGCCAAATGCCATTTTGGCCAATCAGGACCTCCTCATAGATATGCATTGAATCAATGCATCTCTATGAGGAAAATTCAGCGTCTCCATGCAGAACGTGGGGACGCTGAACGGCAGGGCTGATTACTATGCAGCCCTGAGCTGGGAAGCCCCTCCAGTAGCCATCTAAGGAGTGGCCACTTGGAGGTGTCCTTAGGGGCAATGTAAACACTGCCTTTTCCCTGAAAAGGCGTGTTTGCATGACAATGCCTGAAGGGAGCTATTATACTCACCAGAACAACTAGATTAAGCTGTAGTTGTTCTGGTGACTACAGTATAGTGTCCCTTTAAACTTTGAATTGTGGAGCATGCACCATGGACTTTCAAATTTCAAGTTAAAATAGTCAAGTGGAAAATATGGGGCCGATTATTTTTCTACATATGGGATATATTATACCACTAACCCTCTAATAGGCAATGTACCTGTTTCATACATTGGAGGGCAGGCAAATAGGAGCATGAAAGCAATAATTCCTCCATCCTCACGGATATCATTGAGGGCTTGTGGGCTGCAGCCTCGTACAGATTAAAAGTGCAAGAGGGATTTCAGTTTGGAAACTACAGCAGGTTGCTAGCCCACAACTGTGAGGGTTTCTACTTGGGCTGTCATACCTCCCAAAATTGAGATATGCTGCAGGTCCCTTCGAAGGGACATGGATGTCCCGAGTGCGCAGCCCAAGTACTGTCAGCGATCTTAAGCCAGATGCACACAGACATATGGCGGTGAGGTGATCTTCGGATGAGGTTGCAGCAGGAACTTTATTTACAGAAGAGAGCCTTGAAACAGCTAGCCTGCTGGAACACATTTACTCTCCACATTATTTACCTATTATCAGAAAATCCTCCAGTCTCCTCAATTCGTCATACAAAAAGGATATTCCAATTGGTGAGATCCACCCATATATAGAAATTCATATAGTGCACTATATATTTTTGGACTGTTGTACACAAGGACTTTATTTTGCATTTTTTACTCTTATTTTTCATTTTTTTACTTTTTTACCTTTTTGCCTTTTTTTCTTTTTCTGTGTACACAGACAGCAGCAGGTTGTATCATTTTGGATACTCCGCTTTGAGACTATTAGTGGGATCATTACCAGCTGTATATATATCCATATAATGAATTTAAACAGTATTTATGAAGGTTTTTTTTGTAAATAGCTATTGTACATAGGATGAAATGCCTGTAGTTCTATTTATCTTATGTATTTTTATATATTGTAACCATTAATGAATTTGATAGTTAAGAGTATAATAAATTAATTGCATTACCTTCTATGTTTATCATTGATTTTGAGCGCGGTATTCATATTTATTTTTTGATTGATATTATGAGGCTTCATTAGGGTTAACCTCGAATACCTGCACCTTAGACGTGATTGAGTGACAGCACATGTTATAATTGTATATAACATTAGGTAATGACAATGTTTTTTATTACAGGGTTAACATAACCCTAAATAACTTCCAGAGTGTAATTAGCATAATAAACCATTAACAATTTAACCTTTCCAGCACCAGCTCGCTCCTAGGGATCCCCGTGTTGGAACAGATCCAACCACTGGAACAGAGCAGTCTGCCCAGTCGCCCATTTAAGCTAAGAGCCATGACTGCTGACCAGAATAACCCCTACCACCTGTTGCCCAATAAAGACACAATAACACTAATATATGGGTAAGGGCAATGGCCACAGCTTTATTAATAAATTCTTGCCAGCGTCCCAACTCTGTCAGCTGTTGGGGTGTTTACCAACAGACAGCTTTATCCAAAATGAAGCACGAGTCCAGTGCAGCCTGCCCCCACCATCAGCTCTCAGCAGGCTGCGACTCCCCAAGCCGCTTGGGCACTTTCTTCCAATTTAACTGCGCTGGCCAGGACTACCACGAGCTGTGACAAAACAAAGAAGAAACAACAGCACCCAATACAACAATACACAGATCCACACTTGAATTGCTATGGCGGGCGGGAAAGCTAGGACCACTACACCTCTGACAAGGAACTAGTGAGTACCTCCTCCCCCATTTACCCCTTCTTATGATGTACCTAGATTGCAACATTGTATCCCTTATCCCTGTCATCAGTCATGCCCTCCCTTCCTTATCTTTCCAGGGTGGTTCTCTCTGCTAAAAAACTCTCACCAAGTCTTCATTAGGCTATCACCACATCCTCACTGTGAGGCCATATATCATCCCCAGGAGCAAGCTTCTGCCATGCCTGCAACTGGCTTTAAGTAGCAGCAGTCAGTAACTCCCTGTCACTACTGGTGACATTGTGTAGTTGGTAAACAGCTGCTATTTGCTAACCATAGTAACAGTCACATTAGTAAGCAGAAGCAGGTTGGTTTAAAATAAAAAATAATGACACTTGTCCGTTTAAGGGCACTGCACAAATGAGCAATTAGAGATTTTTGATAACATTTATAAAATGTGGGAGAGAGACCAATTATATAGCAGCCTAAACTGTGACTGTTTCATGATTATTGCATTTTTCTGAAAATGAATGCATATCTTGCTAAGCCCCAAGCAGCATATAATCTTAATGATTTTATATAATGATATATCGTATATCATTAGGACTTCTTCTACAATATATGCTTACGCTGGTATGTGCAATTGATATATTTCATCGTGTAGCATTGGTGTGTGGATATGGTCCTGTGATGTAGATATATTGAGGGTGAAAAAAACTAATTGAAAGGGGCAGCTCTCAGTGTCACATGTGCTATTTCTGGGTGTGGACAAGTGAACCATAAAACCACTAGAAAATAACAAGGGGAAATTCTGAACCCAGCTTCTGACATACACCTGTGGAAAGTACAAAGCAGCTTGATCACGAGCCCAGCTGTGTGACTGTGTTTTCTTAAAAATGTATTTTGAAGTCTTTGCAACCATCATGATTACAAGTATACATGTCGTTCCTGTTATTTACTTACGAGCTATAGATCTGTGACATTGCTATCACATTGTCTTTTAACACACAGTACATGTGGCATCTTTACTTGCAGGCTCTGTGTTAGGAAATCAAGTGATCCAGAACGTCTCTGAAATCACGGTCAAGAAAGGAGACGACATAGTGCTAGGCTGCAGCTACAGCGGAACAAAGTATGTGCTTATATGGTATCAGCAGAAACCCCATCAATCTCTGCAGCTTATTCTCCACGATGAATCCAAAACCTTCGATGAGGAATTTGCACAGCGTTTTTCTGGCCACCATGATACCGAGCAGAAGACTTTCAATCTTTTTATCAGAAGGAGTCAGTGGTCAGATACTGGGACTTACTACTGTGCCTTGGAGTATGGCACTGTGTGCAGAGCAAGGTCTCAGCTGTTCATTAACTCCCTTAGCTGTAAGACAGGGCTTAACCCCTTCAGGACGGAGTCAATAGTACACGTTCTGATCAAAACAAAACGTAAACAAAAACTGGAATTTGCACTATATGTCAGTTCAACCGTAATTCACCGCTGTCACATTAAGTGCACCCACACTTATTATATATTATTTTGTTCAGGAGAAGCAGGACTTTAATTTATCATCAACTATTCATATATGGAACATAATTTATTAAATTTGTATTTCCGTCTGACATTTTAGCTGTTAATGTCATAATACTGTTAGGTTTTACTGCCAAAAAATGCACATATTTGTAACCATCAACAGGTTTTATGGTGTTTTGGAAAGTTACAGGGTCAAATATAGAACATTCCATGTTCAAATTGAAATTTGCCAGATTAGTAATGTTACCTTTGAGACGGTGTGGTAGCCCAGGAATGAGAATTACCCCCATAATGGCATACCCTTTGAAAAAGTAGACAAGCCAAGGTATTGGACGTGGGGTATGTTTAATCTTTTTTAGTAGCCACTTAGTCACAAACACTGGCCAAAGTTAGCGTTCATATTTGTTTTTGTGTGAAAAAAGCAAAAAAATAATATTTGGCCAGTGTTTGTGACTAAGTGGCTACTAAGAAAGACTGGACATACCCCACTTGCAATACCTCGGCTTGTCTACTTTTGCAAATGGTATGCCATCATGGGGGTAATTCTCATTCCTGAGCTACCATACGGTCTCAAAGGCAACATAACCAATCTGGCAAATTTCAATGTCAAAAAAATGAAATGCAAGCCTTATATGTGACTCTAACTTTCCAAAACACCATAAAACCTGTACATGGGGGGTACTGTTATTCTCGGGAGACTTCACTAAACACAAATATTAGTGTTTTAAAACAGTAAAACATATTACAACAATAATATAGTCCATAAAAGTGCAGTTCGTTTGTAAAAAAATGCAAAAAACTTCACTTTTACTTAAAATATCATCGTTGTAATACAATTTACCAGTTTGAAACATTAATATTTGAGTTCAGCGAAGTCTCCCAAGTAAAACAGTACCCCCTGTACAGGTTTTATGGTATCTTGGAGAGTTACATGGTCAAATATATTGCTTGCGAATTAAATTCTCTGCACTTTCTCCCTGTGTTGTCAGGCATGTCAATCAAATTTGAATTAATCAAATCACATAATTATGTTAAAAGATTATTTAAATATACACGTAGAATTTTAATATACATGCATTTATAGGTATTTAAATTCTACATGTATACCAATGTAATCTTTTATGTAATTCTATGTATTTATCTATATATATTTATATGTGTATGTATGTATGTGTATGTATATGTATGTATGTATGTATATTTGCGGTTATTTGTATTTTATATATAGATAGATATATATAGAATGTCATTCTAAGTGTATTTTGTTACCAATATATATATATATATATTAATAACAAAATACAGTTAGAATGAAATTACATATAAATATTTAATTTATATTAAATTTTGTTTCAATATTTTATTTATTTTATTTATTGTAATTATACATATATATATAATAGATGTGTATATATCTTATATAATAATGTAACGTCATTCTAAGTGTATTTTAATATTAATATATGTACTTATATTAGTATTAAAATACACTATGTATGACGTTACATATATATAATATGTATATATATATTATATATATAATATATATACTATATATATAAAAATACTTTTAATTTATTTTCAACATGTCTAATAATATTTTTTTTTTACTTTCCCACCAGCAGGGGGACTGTCTGATATTTCAGACAGTCCCCCTGCTGGCAGATCCACAGCCAGCTATAGGGGGCCATGTGATCGCTCATTTGCCGGGGGAGGGCTGCCTGGGCTGTCAGGCAGCCCTCCAGAAGAGGATCGTGGCGGAGGTGAGTACACAGTACCTCCAGTGGCTGCAAGCCGTTACGGCGTTCTATGCCGCCGCAACGGCTTTAAACCCCTTTAAATGCGGGACGGCATGGAACGCCGTAACAGCGTTAAGGGGTTAAAGCAGGCCACTTACGAAAAATACCAGTGTAAGAAATTACGTTTCAACTCTGGAAACAGGATCTCATATTAGAGGTAACAAATAAAATCATCAATCATTGTTATTTTAGTTAAAACTAAAGGGTTAGGAGATTCAGATAAATAATTACTATCTTTACACTGTATTTCTAAAGTAACGTCTATAATTCAGTTACTATTCATCCTAGCCTTTCTTAGACTGTTCAGGGAATTTTTATTCTATCTATCCATCCATCCATCCATCATTCCATGTTATATGTGTATATACAGAGAGAGAATAGACAAACGAGGTGCACTCACAGACAATAGGTGTTTTATTAATGTAACAAAGAGTTTTACATAAAAAAATTATTGATGTTTCTTGTTCAAAATCACACAATAGCAAACAATAAGCATCAGTATAGAAAAAGATATAAGTGAACATAACAAAACGTGTTCTGATGTTCTCAATATTCCTACTGGAGCAGAAATTATTCGTCATCTCATTTTTCTAGCCTCTTCAACAATTAAAGGAACTCTATAGCGATAGGAATATCAAATGAGTATCCCTAATGCTATAGTGCCATTATCATCATTCAGGTGACCGCTCACCCACTACCAGAGTTAAAAAAGTGAGTTCTACCTTTTCTCCTTTGCAGTGCTAGTCTCCCCCTCTCTGGCTGAGATCCAATCCATCAATGATTTCAAATAATCCATCAATGATTTCAATAGGAAAGCTCGTGGACATGTGTGTGGCAAAACACTGCACTGCACCAATCAGATGATCTCTATGAGACCATCTGATTGAGATAGTGGACGTTTACTTCACTATTCTGGCAGAAGCACCTCCTGTGGCTGCCAATATGACAGCCATTAGATGCAGATTAACCCTGCAATGAAAACATTCCAGCAGAACGGCGATGTTTTCAGCTGCAGGATTAAAACATTCATTGAGATGAAGTGGTCTGGGTACCTATAGAGTCCCTTTTAGAAGGTCAATGAGTATATTCAGTACAATATACAATGCAGAAAATAACTATTGTTTGAAAAGTGGTATGATTTCTGCACAAGACAAAACCAACATTTGTAGACAACTTGGGTGTCTGGTATTAAAGGACCACTCTAGGCACCCAGACCACTTCAGCTTAATGAAGTGGTCTGGGTGCCAGGTCCAGCTAGGGTTAACCCATTTTTTCATAAACATAGCAGTTTCAGAGAAACTGCTATGTTTATGAATGGGTTAAGCCTTCCCCTATTTCCTCTAGTGGCTGTCTCATTGACAGCCACTAGAGGCGCTTGCGTGCTTCTCACCGTGATTTTCACAGTGAGAGCACGCCAGCGTCCATAGGAAAGCATTATGAATGCTTTCCTATGTGACTGGCTGAATGCGCGCGCAGCTCTTGCCGCGCGTGCGCATTCAGCCGACGGGGAGGAGAGAAGGCGGAGAGGAGGAGGAGAGCTCCCCGTCCAGCGCTGGAAAAAGGTAAGTTTTTACCCCTTTCCCCCTTCCAGAGCCGGAACGAGTATGTTTTCCTGGCACTATAGTGGTCCTTTAACATTTAACCATGTTAATAGGAATATAAGGTGGGCATGGGTATTCCATTCAAAATTTCTAGATGGCAATATTCATTCAATTAATGAGTACTATTGCAATGTTAAGAAAGATGTGAAGAGATACTTTTCATTACATGTTCTACGGATAGCTATTATTTTATTTAGTAAGCCATTACAAAGCTAGTCATTATAAATGGAAGGAGTGTATACCCCATCTCTCTGTAATTATAGTAATGTGCTAACGAGAGTATTGTAGCCCATGGATTAGCGCAGCTAAGAGGAATAGGCCTTGACAGAGCCAGGAGGTAGGCATAGCAGCCACAGGAATTTAGTGACCGCTAGCATGCTGGGTAGGGCGGAGCCATAAGGGGAGTATTTATACCAGCCATTATATGAAGTGGCCATTTTAATTGAACCTAAGCTTACCTGTCAGTTGTCCCTCCCACCCTCCCTGTATTTGGTTAGGTTAGTTGATTTCCCGTTTTTTCACAGCGGCGGGGAATGGCCTGGTTAAATCGGAGGGTAGATGGAGGAAAAAGTGGGCATCCTGAGGTTTAGTGTGGATTGGGCAGTGTTGCACGTGGTTGGTAGGTTCGAGCCCGTCGGTGGCTCCGAACCTGGGGGTGTGGTGGTGTCTTGGTACACCCTACACTGGAACTGGTGGGTAGCGGTGTCTTGGTACACCCCTACAATGGATATGGTGGGTAGCGGTGTCTTGGTACACCCCTACAATCGATATGGTGGGTAGCGGTGTCTCGGTACACCCCTACAATTTAACCTGGTGGAAATGTGGTCAAATTGGACGGCCAGTTTCTGTGTTAACATGTTATTTAGATTGTTATCTATTGTTATTATTGTGGGGTCATTGCTAGGGGTATGTTATGTATATGGGGGAGGTTAACATTATTAAGATTTGTTGGCAATGACCCCATTTGTTATTCCTTAATTATTTATTAATAATTTAATAAAGCTGTGGACAAATTATTTCCAACAGTATAACCTGTGTCCGTGTTTTAATGGGGGTTTGGGTAAGGTTAGCGCATATGCCGGCAAATCCGACTGTGCGCCTGTCATGTAGCATTACATGTAAATTCACCTTATCCGTGTACAATCTAAATTACAGCATGAGGTTTTAGGTACCTGGCTATTGACTTCCTCTTCCTCTCATTTTCTATCTTTATTCAAGTTAATATTTTATGTATATTTAATAGACAGCTCAGACAAAGTCACACCGAAAGGGGGGCCAAGAGCATCTCAAGGTCAGAAACTAGCAGAACAGGTTTTCATTGAATTCGATACACCTCGGAGTGCTGACGTTTCCTTCATACCTTTACTGGTTTTGTGCCACTCTGCACAATGTGTGGTGTCCAGCTTTTGCTTCTGTCAGTGATGTGTTTCTGCAGTAAGTATCATATTGGGAATTCAGAAGAATCTTGATGGTAAAAGGGGAGTATTAGTGCTAAAATCATGTTTTGTTTTTAAGAGCTCACAGAAGGTCAACTGGTGACTCAAGCCACAGCTGACCTGGTGAAAAAAAAAGAACTGGTGACTTTTGATTGTACATACACTAGCGGGTACCCGACCATAATGTGGGATATCCAGGACCATAATAATCTCATCCATTTTTTACTGCATGACGAGACACCATCTGAAGATCTGGAGCCAAGGTTCAGAGGCAGGCTCTCTGCTGCACTTAACAGGCATCACAAGTCGTTTCCACTGACAATACTGGGCGCAGAGCTGAGAGATACTGCTATGTATTACTGTGTCTTGATGCCCACAATCACTGAGAGGGTTTGCACAGGTGTACATAATCACCTTGTATAAACAACTGCTGTGTATATATCTATGTCTTGACAAGCAACACTTAATCCCCAGCAAAAAGCCAGACACTGGACCATTGTGTTTGTGTCTCTGTTACCACATAAGCACCTTATATGGGAATATGCAAATATAATAATATAAATAACTAGGAGAAATTGAGGAATCATTAGGGAAGTGTAAGGTGAAGAGATCTGATAACAGGAGACAACAGGATTCTGAAGAATGGTGCTCCATGGGAGGAGACACAGGGATGACAAAGGGGCAAGAGGATGAGAGAAGCACATTTGTAAAAAGATTGTAACTTGGGCCATCTCTGTTTAATTCAATTTCCAGGGATACTACAGACACACATAGCACTTCAGCTTGCCAAAGTGCTTTATGTGTCAGGAGCATCTCATGTAAATGTATTTTATAAAAGTTCTAATTTCTATTTGGAATCGGCACTTTTAGAACTAATGGCAGAAACATTCCCAATTATGCTAGATCCGCAGAGCGTACCTGCCTACTCCTCCAACTATAAATGTACCTATTGGCAAACATTCGCTTACGTGCGTCCATATAGCCCACTTCAGATCTGTGTGCACTGCGTTTCTGTGGACTCCCTGGCTCGCAGTCTGGAGAACTTGAGTTCAAAATCAAACCTTCAAGTTGCCTCTGATTGGTCATTTCCCTTTCTTATAATAAAAGCAGATCTGCAGCTTTTTCAATCTGTTTTTAGATATACCACCAATTACAAAATGCAGCAATAAATACATACATGTTTTCATTGGGAGTTTATCTACAAAATTATTTTAAAATGTTTTACTAAAATGTAGAAAAAATAAATAAATAACTATTTAACACAATCTAGATAAAACAGATGTCCTTAAATATGTATAATTTCAAAATAAGTATCCACTTTTGCATCTCTAATTATATAATTAGAAATGTGTCTAACGAACTACTCAACAAAATAATACTGAAATGATCACACCACTCATATTTTATACATAAACATAAATACTATATTTATGCAAATGGGAATATATTATTTCCTTCCAAGTCACTTTTACAGAAAGCAATAATTAAAGCCCCTTCATTGTATTGCCAGTATTCATATAAAATGTAAAATAGGTAATAGCATAATCTCACTGATCATTTCACACATACCATTAACTGCCATTTCATGCATGCTCAGTTCTTCACTGAAATTTGTGGTATAGGTGGGCAAGATCTCATCAAAAGCATTGTAGCAATAAATATTAAGTAATAAAAAATACACCTAAACACAATTAACTCTTACAGGCTTTTACCTAAACAGAGATTTGTGGTTTGGGTTTAAACCAAAATAATCGAGTTGGAGTAAATGTCCAACTCCACTGAATGATTTTGGTCTATTTGAGACCAATTAAGATATAGATCCCATAATAGTACCCGAATAGTGGCTTCAAAGAAAATGGTGTTCTATTCTTGAGTCTTGATATTTATTTTTTACAGTATAATGAGAATTCAGAGGAAAACCGTTGATATGTTTACCACTAAAATCCACTAATATTGCAAAGTTGCAGGTGTCTGGCTATGGACTGCCTCTTCCTCCTATTTACGCATCTAGCTGAGCGCCCACTGATTTTGATCACAAGATGCATTTTTATATACACAATTTACCTTCTACCCGAGGCTGATACTTTGCGCTAACAATGAGGGCTTCTTATCACTCACTGCTTGTGATACTTGTCAATTTTTGGGGTAAGTATTACATCATTTACTATTCAAATTAACATGAAAAAAAATCTGAATAAAAGCTGAACTGTCACTTCTGAGATATTTGCAAAACAATAACTAACTAGCTCATTTAAGTCCTAGTATTTTTGGATAAGGTTTTCAAATGATTTAATACTTTTAAATACACTTTTAAAAATTTAATTAATTTTACTTAATAAAGTATAAAAATATATTGTGTGTTTATATATATGTCGTATGGCTTTTCCGTGCATGTGCTAGAGCGCACATTAGCACACCTGGTGCATCATGGGGTGCCAACATAGACACAGAGGTGCAGTGGAAATTGGTCAGTATCTGAACAGCCGCACCTGTACGCTTAGATCCCAAAAATAGTTTTCAGCTATACTCACAGTAAAGAAATCCAGGACCCTAAAGCCTTTATACCATCATGGATTGGATGTTACCATCATTAATAACAATTAAACATTTGTTAAATTTTTCTGTTCTCATGTTCAAATTGGATGATGTTTGTCCATGTTATTTAGTTAGGGATCATATGCTAGTGATTATATTTCTGTATGTATACAATTGTGTTTTAAACTGCAATTTAAATTTTATATTATTTAATTAAAAAATTATTGAACATGATACATGATGGTTTGTTCTCTACCCAGAGCAAAATAAAAAAAATATGAAGTATTAAAAATGCTGCACTACTATATATGTTTAACAATGTAACTCAGCTACAAATATATATCACATCTTAATGCATGCAATTCTACCTGGAACTAATTGTATGCCAATAGGTTAAACCATTGATCCATTTTTTTGTGGTGGTTAGAAACACCATACACTTATGTGCACACTAACTGCTTTATTAGACGTAATAATAATTGAACTTTAATTGTATTACTCCCCAGTGAATATTCTGGGACTTATTTGGGTCACCAGGACTAAATACTGAAATTTAGCATGGCGGATACGAATGGCAAATCTGAGGCTAAAGAAGACAGGCTGTGACTATGTAGATGAAGTGGAGAATTATTCCAGATTAGCTATTGATGCCTTAAGATTTCAATCAGATTAAATTCACAATGAATTAGAGTTTAGTGAATAACCATGTAAGGATGAAGGACTGAATGTCCACTTTGGAAGTTAGTTGCCCCAGTCTTTAATTCCTACATATTGAGGGCATTGCTAACAGCATAATTTTTTCTGTTTATTTTTAGGTGAGAATTCTGCACTCCAGCTGATGCAAGGTGATAGCATCTCAATAGTCCAAAAAGGACACGGAGTAACTTTGAATTGTAGCATGGAAGGGGGGCAAATGGGCAGCTACTATATGTTCTGGTACAAAAAGGACAGCAAAGGACAAATTATTTTTGTTTACAGAGAAGGAGATGTGTATGGACCAGGCTTTCACGATATTGTTGTCGGGAATGTTAAAGCTTCCATCAATTTGTTCACCCTACATATCAAAAGCTCTGCTCTGACAGATCATGGTATTTATTACTGTGCTTCATGCTCGGCACAGTGCAAAATACTTGCATTGTTTAATACAATAAACTCTCTCTGCACTACATAATTGCTTTCAATATCAAATACTCTCCTGCTCCCAGCACCTCTTTAACCCCCTTTTATTGAGGTTTCATAAAAAATAGATTTTCCACCCAGGCCACATGAATTAGAGAAGCTCCCCATTTAAATATAAAACTAATCCCAAAAACAAATGATGTCTACCAGGAAGGCAGGTTATTTTTTTAAATCAATGTACAATGTATATATCAATACATTTTACAGATATAGTTTTCATAAAGGCTAGGAAAATCCCATCCAGTTCCTAAAATATTTGAAAAATGAAAGATGGGGAGTGGCACTTTTTAATCTTATGCATGCATAACATGCACGGTTGAAATTACTGTATGTATAACTGTCCTTTTATACAGGAATGAGGAATCATGGGAAGAAGTGGCAGGAGTATTATGCATTCGCTATTTGCCACCTAGGCCAGAGACCCACGTCATTGGATTTTTTTATCCTGCTTTAACCACTGCAGGAGTTACTCCAACCACTATGACCACTTAAGTGATATCAGGTAGTTATGGTGGCATGTGTGTGCAGTGTTCCTGCTTAAAACATTGGCCTTAGAGAATAAGTGCTATGAGATGCACCTCACATTGCCACTAAACACAATAGAATCATTAAAGGGACACTATAGTCACCCAGACCACTTCAGCTCAATGAAGTGGTCTGGGTGCCAGGTCCCTCAGGTTTTTAACCCTTCACATGTAAACATAACAGTTAACTGCTAAGTTTACATTTGGGGTTAATCCAGCCTCTAGTGGCTGTCTTCCGGACAGCCACTAGAGGCGCATCTGCGACGCTGGAGGCGAATTTCGACTCCATCGCGCAGAACGTCCATAGGAAAGCATTGAGAAATGCTTTTCTATGGACACATTGAATGCGCACACGGCACTTGCCGCGCATGCGCGTTCGGCTCCAGTGATGTTGGACGGGGGAGCTGACGTCGAACAGGAAGGAGAGGTCACCAGCGCCGAGGGAGCCCGGCGCTGGATTAAGGTAAGTAGCTGAAGGGGTTGTAACCCCATTCAGCACCACAGGAGGGGGACCCTGAGGGTCGGGGCACCCTCAGGGCATGATAGTGTCAGGAAACCCGCTTTGTTTTCCTGACACTATAGTGATCCTTTAACTCACCACTGGAAAATATGGGAGGATAATGTCAAACGAAAATACTCTTTATGATGAAATTTTTTCCGGATTGTAGTTTATGTGCCTCTCTATTTACTCTTGTTCTGTTTGTATACACAACTGTTTGTACACTATTTATCGCCAGTACGTGTAAAGTGCTTTTTCACCATATTTGCTATGTAGTGTTTTTCATATAGCATGTTGGCAATTTTATAATGGATGGATATTTTCCCTCTGTTTCTTTTTGTTTGTTTGATTTATATGTTTTCTTTATTCCATATATTTCATTGTTTTACAATGATTATTATTGTTAAAAAAGGAAAACATTTCAATAAAAAATATTTGACAAAATGACTGTATTTAACTAGAAGCTTGAATCCCTGTCTGTCAGCCACGGAGACTCCGCTAGGACGAGGAAGAGGGTATTTTCTGGTCTTAATTCTTGAAATAGTAGCACTGAAATACAGTCAGGGAACTGGAAAATACCTCAACTGTCCTTTTATACAGGAATGAGGAATGATGGGAAGAAGTGACAGGAGTATTATGCATTCCCTATCTGCCACCTAGACCAGAGACCCACGTCATGGGATTTGTTATCCTGCTTTAACTCCTGCAAGGGTTACTCCAATCACTATGACCACTTCAGTGATATCAGGTTGTTATGGTGGTATGTGTGTGCAGTGTTCCAGCTTAAAACACTTCACATATTGAGTAATCTGCACTTTTGTGCCAGGTGCTAGTTGTATCCCCATCACACTGGTAGGGAAAGCTAGCTCTTCCTTTCAACCTGTGTGTGCTCCATCCCACCTCCATCTATTGCCAAAATAGAGTTGTTTTTTTAACTCTATGCCAACTCCCCCCAATTCTATAGCAACCCTACCCCTTAAACTATACCTACACTAACCTTATCATGAACACTTCACTATCCCTGTCCCTAAAACAGCATTAAACAAACCAAGCAAAAATCCTTGTATTACAATAAAACACTAACCCTACAATAATTGTAACCCTACAACTAACAATAACACTATGCTAACCATACCATACCCTTACTCAGGGCCAGATTAAGAGCCCAGTGGGCCTGGTGCTGACAATTATGATGGGGCCTAATTACAGAATTGTCACGGCCCCCGGCTCGCCGCGAGGTGCAGTCGCACCGGACCAGTGTGACCGCGCCAATGAACTGAGCTTACCTGCTCAGCGGCGAGTTGGGAGCCGCTATGCCGGGTTCTCCTGGCTGCCTGCCCGGGTTCAAGATGGTGCCGAACACGCGGTTGCAGCCAGATATAGCTCTGCCCCCCAGGGTCACACACACACACACACACGTTCTGCAGTCAGAGGCCAGAGGGATATTTAACCTAGGTTATTGCCCTGTCGTGGTTTTCGTTCCTGGTTCCTGAATCCTGAGAGTGCATTTTCTTGTCCTGTTTTTGATATTCCCAGTATTTTGACCTTGGTTATTCATGACTATTCTGATTCCTGGCTTCCCTGACTTGGCTTGTTAAATGGTATTGTATATTTCTGGCTCCCTTGACCATTCTCTGTTTTTAACGTATTAGTCCGGCCATTCTAAGGACCGGTTTACGTTTTATCATTTTCTGTTCTGTCTATGTAGATGTTACATAGTTCTGCGTGCTGGACCACACTAGTAGTCATGACAAGAATCTTATCGACCATAGACACTAAAACAGTCATACCTCTCAAGCGTCAAGTATCTAATGGAGATGGTGTTGGAGGGAAACTCGATGGATGCAGCTTTACGAAAACACATACTCTATGCTAATCTCTCTCTAATTTATGCTTTAATCTTTCAAGTAAATCCATACCCTCTAACAGCAGTGTCCAGTGAAGCAGGAAGTCAATGGGGACACTGGGAGAAATGGGGACATAGACACTAGGGACACAGACACTGGAAGACATGGGGACACTAAGACACTAGGGACACTTAGAGACATGGGGATACTGAGACACTAGGGACACTGGCTGGGAGGCATGGAGACACAGGCATGGAGACACTTGGGGACACTGGGAGACATGGGGACATTTGGGGACACTATGAACACTGAGAGATATGGGACACAGACACTGGGAGACATGGGGACACAGACACTAGAGACACTGGGTGGGAGACATAGGGACACTGGGAGACATGGGGACACTGAGACACTAGGGGGACTGGCTGGGAGACATGTGGACACTGGGAGACATGGGGACACAGACATTTGGGGACACTGGGAGACATGGTGACCCTGAGACACTAGGGACACTGAGAGACATGGGGATATAGACACTGGGAGACTAGGGGACACTGAGACAATAGGGACACTGGCTTGGAGGCATGGAGACACTGTGTCCCATGTGTCTCTGTGTCTCAGTGTGTCTCCCAATGTCCCCATGTGTCTCAGCATCCCCATATCTCACAGTGTCCCCTAGTTCTTCAGTGTCCCCTAGTGTCTCCGTGTCCCCATGTCTCCCTGCTGCCTTTCCCCCCATACTTCACTTACCTGAGCTATAGGCTGTCTCTGCAGGGTGGGAGTTGCTGTCTGGACTCTCTGTAGCTGCTCCCCTGCGGATCAGTGAGTAGAGAGAGGCAGGGAGGGATGTGCTGTAACTTCCTATCCCTGCCTCTCTCCATACACAGTGACCCCTACTGGTTAGTGCTGGTATTACAGAGTAATCTCCGTTTATACTGAGAAAAATACCTGTATCTGCTATTGCCGGTATTACTGAAATACCGGCATGGCCAGGCAGCCTCAAATACTGGTAAAATACCAGTCAGGTGGCAAACCTGAGAGTAGTGTGTGTAAAAAAAAAAAAAAAAGTAAAATTTTTTTTTTTTTTTTTTTTTAAATGGGCCTATTCCCTGGGCCTGGGCCTGGAGCTGCAGCTCCATCAGCCCCTATGTTAATCCGGCCCTGCCCTTACTACTAAAACCCTTAACCCACCACTAATTCTAAGGACACTCTCAGCTTACATAAATTCTGATGTCAGAAAACAGGTTTCCTAGTTAAAACAGTAGACTTTAGTTTGGGGTTTTGGGCTTTAGTTGGGGGTGTAGGGGATGTAGTTGGAGGTTGGCTGCTGTAATGAGAAGCTAAGGGGAAAGTATTAAAAAAAAAAAAAAATTATATCCATCCTCCCTGTAGCCAGGAAGGGGGAAATCCATATTGATGGTAGTCCGGGAATGAAGACTTTCTTTGTAATTCAGCGTATGTGCTCCAGTGAGGCTCCAGTGTTTTGAGCATTGGCATGGCAACCCACTCTAAGCACCAGAGCCCACAAGGCACTTTCCAGGTTTAAAGATGACTGCCGCATTTGCATTAGCAAACTAGTGCGGCGACTTGAACTCACGCGGCATGCCGTCTATGGGGATATAAAGTGCTGCATACAGCTCTTCTGTCAATCTGGGGCCACTAAATCTGACAAACAGGAGCCCTAGGTATTGATTGGTGTGAATAGGAATTTAACACTGCTCACATTGAAACTGCAGGAAATTAGATAAAATGGATTTCAAGCCATCCAATCACAGTGCTCTGTGTCATTTTACACAGCATGGGAAAATTATTTTGTGGGCAGTGATCCACTATATGAAATTACTTTGTGGAGTTCATAATGATGCTTGCCCAATAGGAGAATCAAAGCAACACAATTTGCTATATTGTTTATTATGGGTCTAAATAAATGTTAACAAAAAGTATATGTACACAGTAAATTACTAGGGTTATTTCTAACAATATATAGAGAGGTAACATGGAAAATAATGCATTGCGAGAATTTTGATATTGTTCCATGTTAGATCAAAGTATATGAGGACAATATTATAGTTATCTAATATGAACTAACAGTGAGTATAAAGCCATACGTTCCTTATAGGTACCCTAGCTTTCAGACACATGAAGGGTCTGGAGGAGGAATGAGACACATGGAGGTGCTGGGGAAGAATGAGACACATGTAGGGGCTGGGGGGATGAGACACATGAAGGAGCTAGGGGGCAGTGAGCCACATGGAGGAGCTAGGGGGGAATGAAACACAAAGAGGAGCTGTGGGGAAGAGACACAGAGAGGTGCTGAGAAGGGAAAAATGACACACACTGAGGGGCTGCAAACACTGAGGGGCTGCAAAGGTCACTGAGGGGCTGCAAAGGTCACAGTGACACACAGAGGGGCTGGGCCAGGGAACAGCGACACACAGAGGGGCAGGGAATGGGGACAACATCTCAGAGAGGGTCTGAAAAGGGGAATATGACACAGACAGGGGCTGGAAAAGGGGACAATGACACAAAAAGGACCAGGAGAAGGAACAATGAAAAACAAAGGGGGAGGATGGGAGAAAGAGACACACAAAGGGGCTGGGGGTAGTAAGATACACACAAGGAGGGTGTACGACACAAGAGGGACAAATGGGGATAATATACACAAAATGGGTGGTAAGAGACACAAAAAGGAGTAAGACATTCAATAGATGAGATAAGAAACACAAAAGGGGATAAGAAATTTGAAAGGAGGGTTAAGAGACACACAGTAGAAAACGCATTTGGGGGGGCATCTTCGTCTGAGTAGTCAAAAATTATTGAAGAATGAAAATTGTCATGCATGTAATAAAAAAACACAAATCAAGTTTAACATCAGTGTTTGTATCTCTCTGTGTATTTACATGTGTGACAGTGTGTGTCTTTGTATCAGTTTGTGCCATTGTTTCTATCTGTTTCTAGATGTGTATCAGTATTTGCTTCATTGTGTTTTTATCTAGATGTCTGTCAACATGTGTTTCTGTGTGTCTGTGTATCCCATGTGTATCAATGTTTGTGTCTGTGCATCTGTGGCAGTGTTTCTTTGTGCCTGCATATCTGCATGTGTGTCAGTGTGTGTATGTGTATCATAAGGTAAAACACTGTTTAGATTTTATGTTAACATTTAAGAAATGATAGATATGTACCGGTAATTGTAAAGGACTTTCTAAACGTCGGTATATCTTCTTCAATCTGTCATAGAGGAAGTGTGTCTCTCAGCGTATGGTTGGTGACAGTGTGTGAACCCTGGTCACATGACCTTTTGCAGTATCATATATAAAGAATCTAAAAACAGTCCCAATAAATATATTTTGTAGTAGAACAAGAAGGAGCATGCTTTTATATTGCACATGGATTCTATTCTACTTTTTGGGTAAGAGGGTTTTAAGACTTTAATCAGATTCAGTCAGGAAAGTATTATCACCAGTCACTCACTATCTCTTCTCTGAATTACAGGTGTCAAGTCTGACGTTCAGTTGTCACAGCCCAGTTTTCATGCTGGAATGTATGGAGAAGACATACTTATATCATGTGAAGCTTCTGGATATGTGTTTACTGATTTTTATCTGGCATGGCTCAAGCATGTTCCAGGGAAAGAGCTTCAGTATATAGGATATATCTGGCCTTCTTCTCAATCACACAGAGCATTTGTGGAAAATATCAGAATGACAACTAATAATGCAAACAGGATGGGATACCTGCAAATAAAAAATGTTAATTTTGGAGATACTGCTATTTATTACTGTGCTAGAGAAGCACAGTGCATATTCTCACCTTCTCTCCTTACAAGTATATCCTGTGCAGCAATCCAGTATGTTATTAAATGCAACAGATCTCAGTTACACAGAGACAAAATCCTGACAGGAAATCCAGACAAACGGAATTTAGAGCACCTGTTATTAATACATTTTGCTCTAACATTGCAATAGGTTTGCTCATGGATACATACAGGGAGTGCAGAATTATTAGGCAAATGAGTATTTTGACCACATCATCCTCTTTATGCATGTTGTCTTACTCCAAGCTGTATAGGCTCGAAAGCCTACTACCAATTAAGCATATTAGGTGATGTGCATCTCTGTAATGAGAAGGGGTGAGGTCTAATGACATCAACACCCTATATCAGGTGTGCATAATTATTAGGCAACTTTTCCTTTGGCAAAATGGGTCAAAAGAAGGACTTGACAGGCTCAGAAAAGTCAAAAATAGTGAGATATCTTGCAGAGGGATGCAGCACTCTTAAAATTGCAAAGCTTCTGAAGCGTGATCATCGAACAATCAAGCGTTTCATTCAAAATAGTCAACAGGGTCGCAAGAAGCGTGTGGAAAAACCAAGGCGCAAAATAACTGCCCATGAACTGAGAAAAGTCAAGCGTGCAGCTGCCACGATGCCACTTGCCACCAGTTTGGCCATATTTCAGAGCTGCAACATCACTGGAGTGCCCAAAAGCACAAGGTGTGCAATACTCAGAGACATGGCCAAGGTAAGAAAGGCTGAAAGACGACCACCACTGAACAAGACACACAAGCTGAAACGTCAAGACTGGGCCAAGAAATATCTCAAGACTGATTTTTCTAAGGTTTTATGGACTGATGAAATGAGAGTGAGTCTTGATGGGCCAGATGGATGGGCCCGTGGCTGGATTGGTAAAGGGCAGAGAGCTCCAGTCCGACTCAGACGCCAGCAAGGTGGAGGTGGAGTACTGGTTTGGGCTGGTATCATCAAAGATGAGCTTGTGTGGCCTTTTCGGGTTGAGGATGGAGTCAAGCTCAACTCCCAGTCCTACTGCCAGTTCCTGGAAGACACCTTCTTCAAGCAGTGGTACAGGAAGAAGTCTGCATCCTTCAAGAAAAACATGATTTTCATGCAGGACAATGCTCCATCACACGCGTCCAAGTACTCCACAGCGTAGCTGGCAAGAAAGGGTATAAAAGAAGAAAATCTAATGACATGGCCTCCTTGTTCACCTGATCTAAACCCCATTGAGAACCTGTGGTCCATCATCAAATGTGAGATTTACAAGGAGGGAAAACAGTACACCTCTCTGAACAGTGTCTGGGAGGCTGTGGTTGCTGCTGCACGCAATGTTGATGGTGAACAGATCAAAACACTGACAGAATCCATGGATGGCAGGCTTTTGAGCGTCCTTGCAAAGAAAGGTGGCTATATTGGTCACTGATTTGTTTTTGTTTTGTTTTTGAATGTCAGAAATGTATATTTGTGAATGTTGAGATGTTATATTGGTTTCACTGGTAATAATAAATAATTGAAATGGGTATATATTTGTTTTTTGTTAAGTTGCCTAATAATTATGCACAGTAATAGTCACCTGCACACACAGATATCCCCCTAACATAGCTAAAACTAAAAACAAACTAAAACTACTTCCAAAAATATTCAGCTTTGATATTAATGAGTTTTTTGGGTTCATTGAGAACATGGTTGTTGTTCAATAATAAAATTAATCCTCAAAAATACAACTTGCCTAATAATTCTGCACTCCGTGTAGTTACATCCCTGAAAAGAGACGTGTCCATCAAGTTCAGACTTTCTCACATATGTTATTGCTGTTGATCCAAAAGAAGACAAAAAAAAAAAACATTCTGAAGAGCTTCCAATTATGCAACAAACTAGGTTTAAAAAAATCCCAGAATAGCATTGAGATATTTCCATGGATCAAGAAGCTATTACTCGACTAATTAAAAATGATATCCCTGTAGGTTATGTTTTTGCAAGCATTTATCTAATTGCTGTTTAAGCATCTGTATAGACTCTGATAA